GTGCGGGGAGAAGGGTGCAACAATGAATGAATGGAATCCCCAAATCTCTGTAGATGTTCATTGAAATGAAAAATAAACAACCTAAATTAAAAAAAAAGAATGAAAATAATTAACCGAAAATGCATTAAAACTAAATTAAATGGCAATTTTGTAAAATACAATGCTCAAAGGCCCAATTAAGTCATGTCAAATCTCATCATACGCAAAATCAGTAATCATTTTCTCACACTCCCATTATCATCAATTTTTAAAAATGTTGCGGTGAACTAGTTGGCTTGCCACCAAATTTCTTTCAGCCAAATTAGTTTTAAAGGAATCACCTGGAATCATTCTGTTCAACATTTGGAGATTTTTGTTTAACAAGGGTCAAGTGGCCTGACATGTGGTTATATATCGAGTACAGCCTCATAAGCACTGCTGAGGCTGACTAACACATAAACCCCTAAGTTTTAAAGGGCCAGAGTGTAAAATCCAATTTCCTGAGCACTGTGTAACACACTTTTCCTTCTAATAAAATGTCAAGGATTTGTACTTGTACAAGGTTTGATCGGTAGTTTCCTTCTTGTCTTTCTTTTTAAATCCTCCTTTGATCTGTATTCGGTATTAGAAAAACCTTTAGAGTCTGACTTGAGGTGAAAAACAACGCGTTTGTGTGTATGTGTGTATGTTATATAGAGGTGTGAGGATAAAAGTGGAATGATTTTTGATCATAAATGGAAGCTAGACTCGGCAGTCCTTTAATCTTACTAGATTCTTAAGACCCTGATAGCTATTAAAAAAGTCTGTTGTGACTATGAATTTGACATGTTTCCATTGTTTAGGTATAGACTCTTTTCTTGTAGTTGTTAAGTTAAATAAAGTAGTAAAAGTAAATAATAGTGAAAGTGAACCTAACAAATAGTAAGAATAACCAAAAATCAAGGTTTTAGGTAGAATTAGTCATTCTTAGTGCATTAAAATGACCTAAAACAGTATGGAAAGGCAATGCTCCCAGGAGTATGAATTCTATCTCTTCTCCAAATATCTTGGTAATGCGCCATAATAACACAATTACCAAAACTCAAGATTTAAAGAGTTAACACTCAGGAAGAAACAGGGTTTTGGAATCCATGGCAAAATTAATTTACCTTTTTCTCTTCTTCTTTTGGGTGTTCCTCTTCTTTAATGGATCCTTTAGGTTTTTCTTTGCCTTTTGTTTTTCCTCCTTTTGGTTTGCCTTGAGGAACAGTCACTACAATAGGAATCATTGTTGGAGTAAGTGCTGAGGGGATATCCAACATTGTTTCCAAATTGGGGTCTTTGTGTTCTATAAACAGAAGAAAGGAAAATAAGCAAGTGGAAAACTATGCTTGGTGTGTTAGTGAAACAATAAAGTACCATATGTAACATGGTGTATTATTTGTATATAATGTATACGCATTGATGTTGTTGTTGTTATGTGCCATGGAGTCACCAGTAACTCATAGCGACCCTATGTACAACAACCCTAAACCCTGCTCTATCCTGTGCCAATCGCACTGCCTCTGACACACCCATCCTGATTATCCCAGTTACTGACTTAATCCTCCTCATAGAAGGTCTTCCCCTCCTGCCCTGTCCCTCCACTCTCCCAAGCATGATGTCCCTCTCCAAGGGCCTGTCCTTCCTGACAACATGTTCAAAGTATGTCAGATGAAGCCCCAGAATCCTTGCCTCCAAGGAGCAGCCTGTTTAACCCTCTCCAGAATGAATCTGTTTTCCTAGCAGTCCATGATATTCTCAATATTCTTCTCCAGCACCACAGCTCAAAGGCGTCAATTCTCCTATCCTCCTTGGTCATTGTCCAACTCTCTGAAGCATAACAAGTGATTGCAAAGACTATAGCCTGTATAAGACACAATTTAGTCTCCAGAGTGACACCATTGCTCTTCAGTACTTTGGAGAGGTCCCTAACAGTAGACTTTTTCATCACAATACATTTTTTTATTTCCTGGCTGCTGGTTCCAAGAGTGTTGACCATGGAGCCAAGCAAACTAAAGTTGTTAACAATCTCAGTCTCTTCACCATCCATCCTGATGTTGCCAATTGGTCCAGTGGTGAGAATCTTTGTCTTCTTGACATTGAGACTCAGGTCATACTGAAGGCTAAAGTCCTTGACTCTCTGCAGCAAGTGCATCAGGTCCTCCTCAGTTGCAACAAGCAGGGTTGTGTCATCTGCATAACGCAGATTGTTAATAAATCTTCCACCAATCTTGGTGCCACACTTCTCCTCATAGAGCCCAGCCTCTCAGACAATCTGCTCTGCATACAGGTTGAAAAGGTATGGAGATAGGACACATCCCTGGCGTACACCCTTCCCAATTTTGAGCCATGCAGTGTTCCCTTGCTCTATTCTGACGACTGCCTCTTGGTCCAAGTATAGGTTTCGCATTAGAATGATGAAGTGTTCTAGGATTCCCATTCTTCTCAGAGTCAGCCACAGTTTGTTCTGATCCACACTGTCAAATGCCTTTGCATAATCAATGAAACACAGATAAATATTCTTCTGGTATTCCCTGATTTCAGCTAAGATCCTTCTAACATCAGATACAATATCCCTGGTACCATGACCCCTTCTAAACCCAGCCTGGACTTCTGGCAGTTCTCTGCTGATGTGCTGTTCCAGTCGTTTTTGGATAATCTTCAGTAGAATCTTGCTTGCATGTGAAATCAATGAAATCATTCTATAGTTTCCACACTCTGTTGGATCACCTTTCTTTGGGATGGGAACAAATATAGATCTCTTCCAGTCAGTTGGCCAAGTGGTTATTCTCCAAATTTCTTGGCATAACTTGGTGAGCACGTCCAGGGCAGCATCTGTTAGCTGAAATATGTCAGTTGGTAAACCATGTATTCCTGGGGCCTTGTTTTTTGCTATTTCCTTCAAGGCAGCTTGAACTTCTTCCTTCATCACCATAGGCTCTTGCTTATATGTTAATTCATGAAATTCTTCTGTCTGCCAATTCCTTTCCATACAATGACTCAGTATATACTTTCCATCTTCTTTTAATACTTCCTGGATCATTTAATGTTCTGCCTAAAGCATCCTTGCTTATAGCAACTTGAGGTTTGAATTTGTTATTCAGTGCCTTGAGCTTAAGAAATGCTGAGCAACTTTGGCCCTTTTGATTTTCCGACTCCAGCTCCTTGCACATTTCACTGTATTATTTTGCTTTGTCATCCCGTGCTGCCTTTTGGAATCTTCTGTTCAGCTCTTTAGTATCTTGAATTCTTCCTTGTGCTTTGGCTTCTCTGCACTCCAGTGCAGTCTTCAGAGTGTCTTCAGACATCCCTTTTGGTCTTTTTTTCCTCTTCTGTCTTTGCAATGACCGTTTGCACTCTTCCTGGATGATACACTTGACTTGATCCTTCCACAACTCATTAGGTCTTTTCCCATTAGTGTTCAAAGCCTCAAACCTGTTCCTGAGATGGTTCTGAAATTCAGCTGGGATGAACTCAGAATCATATTTTGGTTCCCATGGATTCGGTTTAATTTTCTTCAGCTTCAGCTTGAATTTGCATATGAGTAGTTGGTAGTCTGTTCCACAATCAGCCCCTGGCCTAGTTTTCACAGCTGATATTGAGCTTCTCCAGCGATTCTTTCCAGAGATGTAATCAGTCTGATTCCTTGCATACCATCAGGTGAAATCCATGTGTGTGACCTGCGTTTATGTTTCTTATAAAATGTATTTGCAATGAATAAGTTATTGATTGTGCAAAATTCAATCATTCTATCTCCAGCTTCATTTCTGTCACCAAATCCATGTTTTCCAACTGCTGATTCTTCTTCTCTGTTCCCAACTTTTGCATTCCAGTCACGGATTATTATCAATGCATCTTGATTGCATGTTCAATTGATCTCCGACTGTAAAAGTTGGTAGAAATCATCTATTTCTTCTTCTTTGTCTCTGGTTGTTGGTACATATATCTGAATGATAGTGGTATTCACTTGCCTTCCTTGTATGTGTATGGATATTATCCTGTATCTGTAGATAATCTCTAATGCTTAATACGCTGTAACTGAAAAACTCATTGCTGTCCAGTTGAAATAAATTCATATCTGACCTTCCAGTAGATTTTCAGAGACTATAAATCACAAAGGAAGAGATCACCTATTTTTTTCTCCAGCAGAACCCCAACTGATTTAAGCTGAAAAGAGGCATCACCTTTGATTTAGCAGCAAAATTCCTTTCAGATTATGCCTTCATATTTCCCTAATAAGGTAAAAACACTCCATAAATAACACTTTAAACACTCTCTTAGCCTTTAAAGTATTGCTTTGACCATATTTGATGGCTTTTAAGAAGCCTTTCTCCTCTATATTTTCCATAACACATTGGTTGAATTTGTGGATGGAGAACTCATGGATACAGATAAATGGTTCTAGATAAATCACATACCCATGCCTATGAACACACTTGAACCTATCCTATCCTGTGCCATCCTCAACATCTCTGACACTTCGCTGCAGTAGCTGTGCCAATACATCTCAATAGAGGTCTTCTTTTCTTTTCTAAGAATGGTGTCCCTTTCCAAGGAACACTCTCTCCTAGCAACACATTCAAATTATGAGAAATGAAGCTTTGTCATCTTTGCTTCCAAAGAACACTCTATCCTTTTTCCAACACATATTTGTTTGTTTGGCTTTTTGTTTTTGAGTATTCACTACTCTTCTCCAACACCACAACTCAAAGGCATCAATTTTTCTTCTGTCATTCTTTTTCACTGTCTAGCTCTCAGATGGTTTAGTAAGTGATTTAAAAGACCATGACCTGGATCAGGCACACATTAATATTCAAATTACAGTACTACTTGAAAGTATTTTAGAGAGATCCCTGACAGCAGATTTGCCCAATGCTATGTCTTCTGGTCTCCTGATTGCTAGTACCAAGGGTGTTGATTGTTGATCCAAGTAAAATAAAATAATTGACAGTTTTAATCTTTTCTCTATCTATCATGATGTTTTCTATTGGCCCTATGATGAGGACCTTTCTTTTCTTGATGTTGAGACATAATCCATATTGAAGACTGTAGTCCTTAATCTTGTGCAGCAAACATTTCAAGTCCTCCTCACTTTGGCAATCAAGTTTGTGCCATCTGTATAACACAGGTTATTGATGAGTCCTCCTCTGATCCTAATGCCTTATCCCTCTTCAAAGAGTTCAGCTTCATGAATTATTTCCTCAGCATAAATATTGAATAGGTATGGAGCAAACGCACCATCAGGATGTATTAATTATTGGTGACTAAAACACCCACACATATACTTAATCTTGTATTTCACTCTGTAAAAGAACTATGCAGTTTTTATGTACTGTCAAGTCAGAACTGACTTATAGCTAACCCTTCAAGTGGGTTTTCAGAGGCAGTAAATTGCACAGGAGGTAGGTGCCCATCTTTCTCCCATGGAGCGTGGAGCAACTGGTGGATTTGAACCACACACCTCTGGGTTGGCAGTGCAGATCCTTATCCGTAGGCTACCAGAGCTACTTTAGGGCATATACCACATATTGAGTCTGGGCAGACACCATTGGCCTGGAGACCCACATCTTCTTTTTGTGTTATCTCACCTGGTGCCACTCCAGTAGATCCATAGTAACTTATTGAGAGGCAGATTCCATTTTCCAAGGTTGCTGAAAAAGATCCAAACTTACTGATAGCCTTTTCCTTAACATCTGATTTTTCTAAAAGGAAAAAAAATGTAAAGACAGTTCTGTATTAAAAAGAAAAGGAAGTAAAACTCAGTGTGAAGTTGGCAATGGGGTTTATAACAATAAAAAGATTTAGTTTAACCCTTTTCATGTGCCCAGAGATATCTGAGGAAACACACATGACTTTTAAGGGTTTTAGGTTAAAATTAAGAAGGAAAAGAAATTGGCTGATGGCATAAAATATGTAGGATATTTATATGCCATATATACATATAATTTTGAAATGAAAGCCATCTATTTCAATTTCCTTATATTTTAAAATGTATTATAAAATCCCCACATTAAAATTCCTTACTTTTTAAATAACATTTTAAAGTGGTTTCAAACTAATTTGAAAGCAGAATTTGTTTAAGCATACATTTTTAACTTATATATGAATAACTTAAAATTTTTTGTTTGTATTTGGGTTCCCCTCACCCCAGTTCATCATTTCCTTTATCATCAGAGACTGTAAATATGTTGTTGTTTTTGTTAGGTATCATTGAGTCAAGTATGACCATAACGACCCTGTGAACAACAGATCTTAATCCTGTCATATCCTGTGCCATCCTTACATTTCCTGACAAGCTAGAGCCATTGCAGCTCTCACTGCATCAATCCACCTGGTGGACAGTCTTTCTGTCCTTTGCTGACCTTTCCAAGCATGATGTCCCTCTCCAAGGAATAGCCTCTCCTGACAGTGAATACGGGGGTAATACTAATTTAGACTATTCAGGTCTGTAAAGATAGCACTGTTAAAGGGGAAATGCAAATAACCAATGGAACAAAAGATAGTATTTAGTGGTGACCAGGGTGCAGGGGGAAATATTTTTGTTTGCTGTTGAAAATATAGCCCTGAATACATGGCAACCTCATGCGCAATAAAATAGAAACAGTGCCTAGTCCTATGAGCTGTAGAGTTTTCACTGACTGGTGTATTTGTAAGTATACAGCATCTCTTTCTTCTTAGACTGTTTTGTAAAGGAAGAACCACTGAAGGTTGTTTAGTATCATTGTTGTCGTTAGGTAGTTTGAGTCAACTAGGACTCACAGAGACTTCATGAGCAATGGATCTGAACCTTGTTCTATCCTGTGACAACCTCAACATCTCTCATATATTTGAACCCATTGTAACAATCACTCTGTCAATCCATTTCATCCACAGTCTCCTTCTCTTTCACTGACCTTCTACCTTTCCAAGTATGATGTTCTTCTCAAGGACAAGTCCTGCCTAAAAACATGCCCAAAATATGTAACATAAAGCCTCACTATCATTGCCTTCAAGGAACACCGTGACTCAACTGTCTCTAAGAAGTATTTGTTCTGTTGGCCGTCCATGAGCTATTCAGTACTTTTCTCCAACATCACAACTCAGGGGTATCATTTCTTCCATCATCCTTAGTCATCATCCAACTTATAGATGCATAACAAGTAATTGAAAAGACTATGGCTTACATCAGATGCACCTTAGTCTTTAAACTGACATCATTGGTCCTTAACCCTTTAACAAGGTCCTTACAGCATATTTACCCAATGCAATACATTTTTTGACTTCTTGACTGCTGATACCATGAGTATTGATTGTAGATTCAAGCAAGAATAAATAATTGATAACTTCAGTCTTTTCTTCATCTATCATTTTGCCTATTGGCCTAGTGGCAAGATTTTTGTTTTCTTGATGTGAAGAAGGCCATTTAGAAGACTATACTCTTTGATTTTCTGAAACCAGCATTTCAAGTCATTCTCACTTTCATCAAGCAAAGTTGTGTCATTTGCATGATGCAGGTTTTTGGTGAGTTTTCTTCTGATCTCTTTCCCACCTTCTTCATAAAGTTTAGCCTCTGGAATTATTTACTCAGCATATAGATGAATAGATATAGAGAAAGAATAAAGTTCTGGTGTGCATCTTTCTTGATTTTAAACATCTTGCTAACAAGAACTTTGGACCTTGCCCTAACATGAGCCAACCTCACCATCTCCAATACACCTGACTCCATTGCCATAGTCACTGTGTAATCCATCTTATCCGGGGTCTTCCTCTTCTTGCACTGACCTTCTACCCTCCAATCATAATGTCCTCCTTAAAGGACTGGTTCTGCCTGACAAACATACTCAAAGTACTTTAGTTGAAGTTTCATCATTCTTGCTTCCAAGAAGCACCCTGGTCTCACTTTCTTCAGGACAGACCTGTTTGTTTTCTTGGTAGCCCATGGTATGTTTGATACTCTTCTCCAGAAGCACAATTCAAAGGCATTGATTCTTCTTGTGTTATGCTTAGTCACTGTCCAGTTTTCAGATACATAACAAGAATTGAGAAGACCATGACTTGAATCAGGTGAACTTCAGTCTTTAAACTAATATTGTTGCTCTATGGCACTCTGGAGAGTGGATTTTCATAATGCAACTAATCTTTTTATTTCTTGACTGCTGGTGCCAAGGGTGTTGGTGGTGAGCTCACTGGTCTTACTTAATGAGACAGGACCATAAGGCAAGACCTGGAGGTTTCCAGCCTTTGGTTGGCAACAGGTGTGTTGGTCTTTCTCAGCAAAGTATGGCCATCTCTTGGTGGTATTATCATTTATCTGTCAGTTTTTTTGTATTGGGGAAGTGTCTTGTATGTCTGCCCTTAATAGCATAGATAAGTAGAGGTTTGCTTGTGCATTGTTTTTACTTATGGGTACAGTGATTGTCTGTCAGATGCTGTACTATAGCAGACCTTCCAGATTCAGACCTACTAGGAAGAAGGATTGGCCATCTAATTCTGAAATAACAGGTCTTGGAAAATACTATGAATGATAGAACACAGTTAGACTCCAGAAGTGAAGGAATGGGGGACGGGGAACCCCAAAACCTTAGATTACCTTTTTTGAGAATGACAAAACAAATGGATCTCTTCTAGGCAGTTCCTCCTCTATGAACAACAAAGGAGTACAGTTCAAAATGAGGAGAAACAACTGTAAATATCCATTAATAACTGGAACATGGAATGTATGAATATGGATCTAGGAAACCTGAAAGTTATCAGAAATTAAATATAATGCCTAATGGTCAACATTTGAGCTATTAATGAATTGAGATGGGCTGGTATTGGCCACTTTGAATCAGACAACTATATGACCCATTAGATTGGGACTGAAAAATAGAAGAAGAATGGTGTTTCATTCATAGTAAAAAAAAATTCAAAATCTATGCTAACATACAATGTTGTGAATGATAGGATATTATCTACACACATATAAGGAATACCTGTAAATATAACTGTTATTCAAATATATGCTCCAACAACCAAGGAGGAAACTGAAGATTTGAGTCATCTTTTGTAGTCCTAAATTGACAGAACATGCAATCAAGATGCATTTAATAAAAATTGGTAAAAAACAATTCATAACGGGAACGTAAAAATTGCAAACAGGGAGTGGTTAGCATCATAATAACAAGCTGACAACCACTGACAGATGGGTGGTAGTTTTGCCAAAGTATATTGGGTGGGAATCCATTTGGGTCTCCCATGTGGAAGTCAAGAATTCTACTACCAATCTATAGTGTCTTTCTACAGGGAAATTGGTACCTTTGTACATTATTAAAAATTTTATGTTAGTAGAAACATGAGAGAAAGCATAAAAAAATAATCCATCTCAGGGGTCTAGTCAGACAAGTAAATGTTGTTGTTGTTATGTGCCATCGAGTCACTTGTGACTCATAGCGACCCTATGTACAACAGCCCTGAACTCTGCTCTATCCTGTGCCAATT